GGGACAATTGTTCCACACCGGATGTGATAACCGTGGGTTGTCTGTTGTTGGTGGCGTGATTGCGTGCCAAATGCGTCTGGGTTGCATTTCGGTAAGAGTGAATTTGCATTTAAATTGGAAAAAGAAGTTCATATCTGACCCAGCTTCTCTCGAGGGGAACAGGAGAAGAAAACAGCGGCAGTACATGTCGGCAATGTAATTACATACGACGGTAAATTTGTTAATGGGAAAGTCGGTAATGGCATGCAATGATTGTATGCACATAGCTACGTGCAATTGGAGGTTCGGCTTAATATGTTTTATTAATAAAAACATGTTTTGATGATACTTTTAAGATAACGTAATTATGATAACATTAATTGGAAAAATTATCATCATTCCGTTTGATACATTGTTGCCATTTTATGATCCGTTGAAAGCGTGCAACACGTGATATTAATTTGTATAATTAGTATATTACCAGCAACATTTTAACTGTGACTACGTCTAGCAAATTCAAAGTTTGTGTGTAGTTAAGATTATCTCGGATACATTACAACATTACAAAATTGTAAAGGTGCATTGGAAAACTCCGCAAAGAACTGAACATTTTAAAAACTGAAAGTAACTGAATGAAAACTTACTTAAAAACAAGAAAAAGTGCCAAACTAAAATGCTTCATACAAAATTAAAGAAAAGCCAAATTAGGTACTCATAAATTGCAAGCAATATTGGAAATTTATATGGAACATTCGATATTTTGTATTGCTGCTGTGAGTTTTCAATAATTTATGATGATTTTAAACTAATGCGATGCTTCTCACACACTTAGAAATTATCGCCGACTTCGGTAATTTTTACCGAAATCTGAACAGCTGAACTGTTCGGTAAAATTTATGCAATTTAATTCAATTGCTTTTCCGTTACTTTGAAACTAAACCTCCACTAAAATGACAAGATTTGATCATTTCAACGAGGCTGAACATGCTTTGAAATTATTTTTTAATTCAAGGGACTTTAAAATGAAGCTCAAAGTTTTACCAAACTTTCAGTTGTTCTGATTTCGTTAAAATTTTACCAAACACGAAAACAAAATCTTAGTGTGCAGCAAGCGATTTATTGGCTAATTCGACTCAAACTATAGGATATTATTTGAAACACCGTTGCATCGATCAGGTCCAAACACGAAATATCATAACTCGTCAATATTTATTGTCCGTCGGATTGAATCACAATTATCTTGCCGAATAGCTTTCTATAGTGATTAACGAAAACATAGGCTGTCGCGCAATTTTGTAATGATTATATAGAATCTATGGTTAATTGAATAGAATCAGTCTGGGTCTAACCAGCAGACTCGTCTTTCAATGTGCTCTTTTGCTGTTTCTAGCCCACGGATACCAAGTATCGATGGCAATCCTTAGCCGATATGCTCTTTGACCATTTACCGGTTTTCCAAATACCATTAATAATTGGCTAAATCCACCAAGAACATTCCCCTTCGGGAAGATTTCCACCTTGTCCGATCCATGCTAACTATGAAATGAACAAATTAAGAGTGCTCTTAAAAACAAATCGGGTGCAAGGATCCAATGTTGGAACTATGGTCAGTATACGAACATGTTTTGATAGTTTTCCAGAACACATTTTGAGTGAACTTTGAAACACTTTCTCTTTTTTATTATCAAAGGAAAAAGTATTGCCATAAAGTGCTCATAACTTTTCTAGAATTGCTTGAAATTGTCAATCATAAATAAAACTAGGAATCCAAACTAAATCCAGCTTCAGTGTAGTTTATTGAACAAAACCAATATACATTATACATTACATACATATTGATGACATTATTGATGTCTTATATTTAAAGTTAAAGGAGCTGGACCGGATACTTGCGGTTGTCTCGAGGTTAGTGGAGATTTATAATTTTTTTGGATGGGAAAAGGGAGAAGGAGGTTTGAAATGTTGTTTACGATACAAATATTTAATTAATCCTAAAACATGAACTAATTTCTATTCATCTTAAAAACAAACTTAAAAAACCCACACGTACAAAATACAAACTACACACAAGGTTAATCAAACTTACAATCTAATGTTAATATTCTTAAAGTAAACATATATGAGTTTCATAAACTCCAGATCGCGTCTAGCCAAAATATCCCGAACTGGAACATTAGGTTGTCTACCTCGAGCCCGAACGGAGTCGTACAGCTCAGATCTGATTTCACGATGCTCAGCACAAGACCAAATAATATGATCGGCGTCTTGATAACCTTGGTATTAACATTAATTTTAGGCTATTTTCTAATGTTAGTCACCCACAAAATATATTTTAACATTATATAATAATAAATCATTCTCAGACACAGGGACTGGCAGAATCACCCGTTCCGTTTAAGACGCTGCCGAAGAGAAACAGGTTGCTGTTGTTGACTAGTGTGACCAGCGAATATCGATTAGCAATTTTTCGTATTTCTCTCACGTTTAGTTGACAGATTTTTGAAAAATTTGCCTGTTGTGCGATATACATTTAAATTAAACAAATGCGATTACTACGACAGCAGCATCCTGGATCTTGAATTTGTGTATACGTCCGAAATCATCTCGAAATTTGTCTATGTTTTACCCATGACAAACCGACATGAATCACCATAAAAGTTACTATGAAATAAGGTTGTAAGTATCAAATTCTTTACATCTAGACCTATGTGTTTGACAGATCTGATCGCTGCACATTTGTTTCATGACGGATTGCCGATGTTTTAACTACGTTGATCGATCTCTAGAATTTCCCTAGAATCATTCCTAGCATAGTGCTAAATTCTGAATTGCGCTAAAAATGAACTAGAGATCCATTCTACTATTACTTTGACATTTTATTTATAACAGTATCAAAATGATCGGTCTAATCTTCCCAGAAATTCACTGAAGTTTCCCTCCATAATTTCAATTGAAATTGGCTTGAGCTCCCCTTTAAAATTGTCATATAATTCAACTCAGAAATTCTTTTTTTTTCTATTATTTAACGTCGGTCTCTGTTCCGCAATCTAGTGCCAATCACCGACGGACATCGATTGGCATCCATTGACGGCAATAGAATGTGCAGGAAGGCAGCTTCCACACCTGCGTAGGATATCGCACCCATTTAAACACGTATGGGCCGGGACCAACGGCTTTACTTCCCTTCCGAAGGAAGACGTGACCAGAGATTTTTATACCTCAGAAAAATCCCACCGACCTCGGCTGGGATTGAACCCAGACTCACTGGGGTGAGAAAGCAGTCACGCTTACCACTACACCAACGGCGCCGGCTACTCAGAAACTCAGAAATTCTGTTATAATAGCTTATCTTTTGACAGATACGCGTATTTTGTCTACTACTTGCAGACTAGTACTTGGCACTGATGAAGTCTGCAAGTAGTAGACGAAATACGCGTATCTGTCAAAAGATAAGCTATTATAACGGAATTTAAAGTAAATAAACCAACCCACTCAAAGCTCTTCATAAAGCGATTCCGTTAAGAGGTTCGACAAATTTTAAGGATTGATTAAGAAATTCTTCTTAAAATTCGCTTGGAATTTTCTAGGAATTGTTCTCAGAATTCCTTGGAAATAGCACCCTCAAAAATCTATTCCCTGATGATATTCTCAAAAAACCGCTGGATTTTTTTAGAATTTAGATATCACCTAATTGTTTAACGATATAAAATGACTTTAGCAAAATAAATCAATGAAGCCGTCAAATTGAACTACCATCTACGTTTGTAACTGCCTTGATGATGATGGTCCCACCTCTTACCCCTACAATGGTTTGAGCTGGACGATTTATCTTTAAGATAATTAAATATGACATTTTAACCAGGTTGGCAAACAAAATCGAACTGGTTTCAGTTACAGATATAAATTCCCTCTAGAGTTTACAGTTGCTTTACAGCGATATAAATGTTGAAAAGCTCAGGCGTCCACCTCTTAGTTCGCCTTTTTGTCCACCTAAAATATTCATAAGTATTACAAGCAATCAAGAGTTAATGAACAATCAACAAAGCATCCTATTACACTAGTAACCCCGCAATCTGATGCTATCATAATTTTCAGCAATGTCAGGAATGCTCACGAACCCCCAACATTTGCCAGAAAACTTACTACTAACTCAAGGTATCTTCCAAATAAGCTTCAAAATTGCATTTTTTTTTTATCAAATGTTAAATTCAGTCCTCTATATCCGTAATACGCGCGCGAGGCTCAAAACTTTGTAGACTACTATATTTTTTTTACTACTACTATTAAATCATATATCAAAAATCCATCATCACCATCGTGGCGAACAAAATAGTTTTTGCAGTGCTACAATAATTATTAAAAAGTCGTTATAACAGCTATCCATACAAAGTAATCCGTTAAAAATAACTTCGTCAAGATACATAATTTGTCAATTCATAAAAAAAAAAATCACTGGATAACCGTTCAAAAGACAGTTGATAACAACAATGTGATAGATATTACACGAAATTACATTTTTTGGCAGTAATTCTGTCAATATCGCGTGAAAACTGACAATGACAATTCACAGCAATGGCACCGTCATTAGGTGTGTACTTTAAGAGTACTAAGTTTACTTTGCAAAACATACGAAATTTCAAAAATTCATTGAAACGTCACTGAAATACGGCAGTTTGGATTTGGGATCCAAATTGACCCCAATAGGTGGGCGACCCCGCCGTAGTGATTAGCATCCAAACCTGTCACGCCAAAGTCACGAGTTCAAATCTCACCCCCGGACAAGTCACGAATGACCCAAGAGCGTTAAAGTGACTATAATAAAAAAAGACCCCAGTAGACCTCAAGAAAGTTTAGCTAAGACCAAAATTTCATGATTATAAAGGGGAAATAATAAATTTGAAACTATACGGAATTACCAACACTTTATTTTACGCATAAACGGGATTGCAATGAATTTCTCCAGACACAAACAGCACCCATTTGTATTTATTTTGAAATTATAACAGTCTTACCGTACTTACCGTTCATATTTATTTGATGATGAACCTCTTTCGGCCCTAGAAAAGAAGAAAAGACAGAGAAATGTAACATTTAGTCACTGAATTCAGAGAAGCTCTCACGTGTTAAGCACTTGAACATAACATTTAGTTCCTATTGACGACAGAACGGCTCATCCGGTTGTTATCATGCTCCATGATTCACGAGTGCGATAATGTTTCGACCGAATAGCAACTGTATGCCTGCTCTCTCGACACAGCTGCAATCATTTGATGCAATCGTTTTTGCACTTAAAATGTTCAGTATTATACGGAGTTTGTCAGACATGTGTGCAATATGTGAGCGCTTATACCGATCGACCGGAAGAACCATTACGTTTTGATCACTCCCTCCTCCCCTTTCATCCGAACTCCCAATTCTGAAATCCATTCATAGCTTCATTCATTCACCACAACGATGATGTTGCGCCTACTACCTACTATGAACCGTTGTTGTTGGCGTGTAGGTACTCTGCTGTTGCTGCTGCTGGTTGATGACAAACCACGCAAATGCCCTTTAGCTCTACACTCTCATACAGCCGTGCAATCACTTTCGGGCATGCAATGGTGCAAATATGCACGATATTTTTTTATTGTGTTATTTATATTTATACTCATTCATAAAGTTTTAGTGTACGTCATCCAAGTCGGTATGCGCACCGCACACAAAGCAAGGCTGGGGGATGATGGGTACGAGCAAACCCATCAGCAAACACAGGGCAAATGCACGATCCGAGGAGGGATGATGATACCTACTGTAGAGCATGCGTAGGATTTGGAACTGCGACGAGAAATATCGCCTTTAGCGATTCGATCGATTGGCTGTTATTGTTGTTTCCTCGGCCCATCCCACCCGGTTGGCAGTATGTGGCTTTTCCAAGTGGATGGGGAATGATGCACAGTTGTAATTTTTTCACAAAGCGAGGAAAGCTCCTTACAATATGTCAAATAAATACATTTCAGTAAATATTTCGAACAGTGCAAAACTCTATTCGTCAAGCCCCACCAACGCAAAACAAAAATCAGTGTGCGTGTGCCGTGGTTGCAGCATGCATTCAATCCACCAGAAATGCACAGATGGTCGTCGTTCAAAACGAAATCCAACTGATCCAACCGAAAGATATATTGCAATGGGGGATTCACCCGGTGCACCACGCTGCTTATATCTCACTCCCGCGCGTCATTTGGAACATCGATCGACGAAGATGATGGCCCAATATATTAAGAATACTTAATACTCGTTGAGGTCGCTTCAAAGCAGAGTGTGTCTTCGCGAGGGAAGAATGGAGCGGGTTACTCCCACATCTGGCCACAAATGTGTGCCATGATGGGACACGGGCAATCTCTTGACATGCTAAACGCTTTTCTTATTTTTTTACGCGGAGGAGAGAAACATGTTCATTCGTGTGCCGCGTATAATCTGACGTTGAAAGATCTATCCGTTTTGGATCCGCGATCCGACAAAGGAAGATTCGGCGTGTTATTGAATGTAGATCAAAGCCCACGTAATCAGGTGATCAATTAGAAACGGTTATCCGGAAATACAAATTGACATCGTTGTTTCTTTATTATACAAAAAAAATGCGTTTTAAAGTAACTTGTGTTCGAAAATTATAAATAAGCAATATTTATTGAAAAATGAACAGTTTGTTAAAGAAATCTTTAGCACATATGGTGAATTAAATACTTATAAATAGAAATACACTATTCTAAAGATGGAGAAGAATATCAGTCAACGCTTATTTTCTGAAGCATTATATGGTTAGTATCCCTAATATTGGGCATAAAAGCCAGAGTATTCAATTTTTTAACAATTCCGGAGTGTTTCGAAATATGAGCGTAACTGCTTTTATAAATAAACACATTAATCACCGTTTTTTTTGCGAATAAATGCTAAATCTGCTAAACTTATAACGCAACCCGGTAGAGGAATGATTCCTCTATGAATTGGTATAGTTTAATAACGAGACATAGCTTTTATGCGCAAGAAATCGGTGATTGACGTGTTTGTTTACAAAGTAATGACGCCCAAATTTCAAAAAACTCCGGAATTCTTCATTAAAAAAAAACTCATTTGTACATTCAAGACGTCGCATTTTTCTTAGAAAATATGAAAACCCGTCGAGTTATATCGATGGGCCACACAGCAAAAAATTAATTTTAATATCACATCAATGCGGATACAATTCAATCGTGTCGAAACACCGAATACAAAAAAAAAACATAATTTTTTAACCCTTGTATACCAAAATTTAGGAAAAATGCTTTAAAGATTATACAGCATCATAATAACCCAGAGCGGTTGAATTGAATATCCTACTACACAAAAATAAGATTAAATACAATTAGATTGGTCACCCGATATTCTTGAAATACTTTACGTTTTGAATGAAACCTTGCCATTTCCAGACTTCGTGTTGTTAGTTTTCTTGAAGGTCTTGTGCTTAATGCTTCATTTGTCTTTCGCTTCGTATTTCTAAAAATTGACTCTATAAATAGATAAAAAAACAACGCTTCCCGCCCACAAGCTGTAGACGTGCATGCCCATAGAAATATATCAAATTCAATAAAGGATGGAATAGAAAAACAGATGATTTCCACTGCGACTAAATCCAGCATTCTTACTAAAATATCAAATGCTGTGCTTAATCATTTATTATTAGTACAGAGCAATAAACAATGTACGGTGACGATTAATCTGTTAACATGCTTTTATAAGCGGGATCGAATGCACTTTTGGTAAGCATCAACACTGATCTGGCAACACTAGTGTGCATCTTTCCATGTGGTAAAGATCCAGATCAGCCCTGGGACCTGATAGCCTAATTAAACTACCTCAAGGTTTTGCCAAAGCCCAGGAAATATCACATCCAATCACAATCACTTCAATAGTGTCGAAAATATGGTGCCAAAAAGGACAAAATTATCATTAATACAGTGCATGAACTGAAATTACGCTGCTTTACTGCATTTGTTTATTTGTGTGGCAATAAATATTACATGAGATTTTCGACATGATTGAAGTGCATCCTCTTAGATGTAATATTCAAATTTATTTTTTGCTGTGCAGATCCCCAGGGCAACATTAGATGCATTTCTACTACATCACGATTGAGCAGATTTCGAGACTAATTTTCTTGAGGGAAACCCTAAAATCTCCACGGCTTGTTTTAGACATTTTTCGTACTCCGATTGAAAAATTCATTTAAAAAAATCGAAGATCAACACAATAGCACGCATATAGATAACGTCACATGTGACGTAAATGTAAACAATAATTCATATAATATTTTGCGAATTATCGCTTTGCTGGGGCACATTGCAAATTACTTTCTTGCAGGTTGTTTAACAATTCCGTTGCTAATATAGGAAAATATATTTTCAGCATATTAAAATATGTTTAAAACTTGATACCACTAAACAAATTTCTCGAAGCAATAAAATTTGAACAATTACAAAAGCTTAAAATCAGTGTTCACTCTGCTGTCGACAAAAGCAGGCCACTCTCGATGTGTGCCACGCGATCGTCTGTTTTCTCGGCAGCAACCACTGTGTGGTCCTCCTCATTGTTCTTCATCAGCAGTTCTTTCGGTCGATGCGTCGTCAACTTTGGAAAGCAACCGTTTCGTGATGAGTGTGTGAGTGTTGACCACGTTTTGCGTCCATTGCTGCAATGGAAGCGCTTTGCCCCACGATGGCGTAACTGCCATACAATGAAACCACTGGACGCGGCTCCAGTTCTGATGGAGGAGGCTTTTTGGATAGCGGAAGATTAAGTGTTTATTGCGTTGTACCTTTTGACTATAGTTTTAAGATGTATTGTATAGTGACCAAGAATCCTCGGCTCTGTAAAGTTAATTCGGTTGAGCCTTATCGAATAAATTAATGAACAAAAAAAAAAGCTTAAAATGACATTATCTCAAAATTTAAAAAGTTTTCTATGTTGTGGAATTCTTCTGAGGCCCCTACTCCGAACACCATTAGGACGAAAACTGTTAGACCGAACTCGCTACTGATTGTATTTTGTATTGAGGAATTCCACGCAAACTGACGAATCGGAAAAACTAGACCTTGTTATAATTCACAAAATTCATATATTTTTTTAAATGACGTAGGGAAAATGGATGTAATGTCGGCTAAAATGCCCCTAATTTGGGGCCATACATAAATTCAACAATCGACTAAATTTTCAATAGCGACCAAAAATATCCATTAGTACCGTCCTAATTACGCGTTCATCTAGATAAAATTGATAAATAGTAGATTTTGTGAAGGGCCTAATCTTAGATCCATAGGCCAACATTAGAGCCATTTCCCATATTTGAAATTTTTCAAAAACCTATAGCGCGGAAACGACATCCCTGATCGAATTGACGGCTATAAACAAAATGGCCTACTTTTCATTACTAAAATAACAGTGTCGAAAAGTACTACTTTTCAGCATCAAGTGATCAATGATACTCAGGCTTGCTGAAGCTCCTCAAACTCACTGGAGGTTTAAAAAAAACTCTTGTCCTGCGAGTTTAGCCAGCCCTCACCTCGAGTGGGTGGCGGCAGGAATATGGAAGAACAAAAACTTCCCGAGAGAAAGGGAGAGTGAACTTCAGAGAGAGGATGATTTGACGTGAGGTGCCCTTTTCGAGACTCCGGATGACTTTTTTGTTCGACGCAAGAAGCTCAGAGTTCACCCAGAGTGAGAGTAAGAGCGTGTGATAGAAAATATGAACATGAATAGCAGCAAACCTCACTCTCATTTTATCCCCTTTCGCTCACAAGCTCTGAAGCTCAGTGGAATGATTTGGCAGTATGTCTCATTTCAAACTCGCGAGTGAGGCTCCATCAAGCCTGATGATACTCAATTCACAGGGAAGCCGAGACATTTTTCGAATTTTACTAGGCAAAACTCTATAGCTTCGTAGAAAACTTTAAAAAATAACATCGGGCAGATCCTAGGCGTTAAACAAACTTTTAAACTTTTTTTTTGATTTTGTCACTTTGAAAATTATATATTGATGAGAATG